TCGTCAGCCAAAAACAAATAAACAAAGTGGGATATTATAACAGGCCTTCCCAGGCGAAGAGGTGACTTTGTTGTAATGTATCCGTGTGGAGTGAACCACTGCTTGCTGTGATGAATACGGAGTCAAACGGAAACTGCTGTATTGAGCGAACAACAAAGTGAGGAAGGAAGAGAGTTCCAGAGGAACGAGAGCTTAAATACAGGATGCCAGCAGCGCGCACGTGACACATACTACATGCTGCGCTACACGTGATCAACCCCTAGTTCCTCCAACTCCGTAACAATATACGTCTTTATATATATATAATTTACTCTAATATACCTATTTTCAAGAGTCTAAAATTACGTTTATTACCTTGGAGGGGAAAGTAGAGTTTTTTAAACTTTTTAGAAACTCTCGAATAAGGGTTTTATATAGAATATAGTCCGAGGGAAAAAACCCCGCTGGGTAATAGAAGAAAGGCGGTTTATATATAAAGATAGTTTTAAAATATTAGATAGTTATATTAATAAGATAGTTAAGACTAGTTTCCTAAATATAAAAGCGTTCTAGAACTATCCCGAGAGCGTTTTAAGAGTATTTCGAGAATATTCTAGAACTATTCTAAATCTATTCTAAATCCTACTCCTAGGTATATGTATAGTTACGTAAGTAAGGTAGGGTACGATCGATTAATAACTATTTAAGAACGATTCTTAAACTATTTACAAATTACACTATTTAAATATAAAATAGTAATAAATCTAAAACTATTTATAAATTAAACTTAGAGTTTTTTAAACTTTTTAGAAACTCTCGAATAAGGGTTTTATATAGAATATAGTCCGAGGGAAAAAACCCCGCTGGGTAATAGAAGAAAGGCGGTTTATATATAAAGATAGTTTTAAAATATTAGATAGTTATATTAATAAGATAGTTAAGACTAGTTTCCTAAATATAAAAGCGTTCTAGAACTATCCCGAGAGCGTTTTAAGAGTATTTCGAGAATATTCTAGAACTATTCTAAATCTATTCTAAATCCTACTCCTAGGTATATGTATAGTTACGTAAGTAAGGTAGGGTACGATCGATTAATAACTATTTAAGAACGATTCTTAAACTATTTACAAATTACACTATTTAAATATAAAATAGTAATAAATCTAAAACTATTTATAAATTAAACTAACTTATATAAGCGAGAAAGCTCTAAAATCGTTTAATTATTGAGGGGGGAATATAAAAGACCCTTGAGAATTAGAATATAATAATTAGTAATTAGTTAAATATTATAACTTATACTAACTTCCGCTTATATATATATAGTAAGAATATTAGGCTAATTAGGTATATTAAGTGTTAGCGATAGCTTTAAAAAATCGTTAGCGAATAAGATAGCGAGCTCGTAAACACCGAATATTAGCGCCAAATTAGTTAATAAGTTAATATTATTAGTTAATAAAAATAATAGTAGATATATTAGAATAACTCTCGATATCAAAACACGATTCAACTCAAGAACTACATGAATTCTTATTCTTCTCTTTATTTACTTTGTAACTTTCGTTCTACCTCATATTTCGCGAATGGATTTAGGGTAGCCCCATTGCTATCCCTCTCCCTCTCCCTCCCTTCTTTATCCCTGCTAGACATCCTCGATCTCCTTTATATTCTCTCGCTTAAACAGGCGAGGAAACCCCCGAAGACAATCTCAATTCACCGTCCGTTTTGAGGAAACTCACATCCCATCCGATTGAATATATCACACGAGCGACCCACACATCTCCTCGCTTAACTTGATTTGATATAAAATGTTGAATCTCATTAGCTATTTGATCATCTAGATAGCCAGCCTTTGGTTTCCCAACATCCCTACCGAAGCCTTACCCCCAGAAACCCAAAGACCTATCCAGAAAAATCCCAAATAAATCAGTATCCAACTTTTACTCCGTCCCGTAAAATAGCGTGTCCCATCATCCTAACATCATAGAACCCATTGAAAACTCCCCCAAAAACCATTCGCCATACGCCATTCCCTTTTAAAACCCCTCCAACAAAAAACTCAAAGAAACCGATGAAAACTCGGCTCCCCCAACCTCCACCTCCACCTCTCGCCCCAAATCATGAGCCCAACAATCGGCACAAAAAACACAGTCTGCACCCCGGCAAACGTAAACCACGCCCAAAAGTAGCCGACCTTATCCGCAAAGGGCAGGGCAAAGTATCCCACCACGAAACTGAGTCCTCGACTGAGATTGAACAAGACGCCCGACTCAGGAGTCTGCGGCTTGTAGCAATCCGAGATGTAGGCGTAGAGACAGGTGCTGGTGATTTGCAGGCCGAAGACCCCGACGCCGAGACCGACGAGTGGAGGAATATAGGTCGTTCGTCCGACGGTGGCGCCGAAGATTATGAGGCCTAAGGGCATGGTGAGGGCCGCGAGGGGGAGGAGGTAGAGTCGGAATTCGGGCTTGCGTTTTCCGCTGTGGCGAAGGGCCATTTTGTACATGATCCAGTCACTTGCTCTTCCGGCGAAGACTTCTCCTATGATGGAGCCAATGGATAGAGAAATTCCGAGACAGGCTCCAATTGGACCTGGTTTGAAATTGTAGAATTTGGTGTAGATGTAGGCAAGGCTTATAGCTGGCATTACGTTGATAAAGGTCCATGCCCAGGTATAATACCAAAATGGAAAGAGGACGGAAGGGTATTGAAGCATTTTAAAGGATTGGAGAAAGTCGGATGAACGTAATTTACGACCTGGTATCATATTACCTCGAAAGGAAAATAGCATTTGCATGCAAGTTCTTTCGTGGGTTCGATTACTAAGAAATTCGGGATCGCGAGAAAAGAGGGTTTCTGGAAATAGGAAGAGAGCGACTATTAGAGAAACGGCCGTCGAAAGAGCGCCCAGATAGTAGTCCCATTGCCAACCAGCTGCTTCACCAAGAAATCCACCGACTGGACATTTGTGAGTACGACCCACAAATAGAAGAAACGGATTGGAAAGAAGTACTTACTCAATGCAGCAACGTGTGCCCCATTCACAATGAAGATGGAGTACACGCCTGTCTTTTCACCTCTCTCGTGGAGAAAGAATATATCATTTACGCATGCTGTTCCCACAGACATCATTCCCCCAAATCCGAAGCCGCACAAGGCTCTAGTTACAAGGAGCGCATCAAAATTCGGCGAGGCTCCAGAGCCAACACCGCCCATAAGGGTAATTAAAATGGCGAGAAGTGTAATGGGTCGACGTCCATAGTAATTTGTAAGGGGCGTCCAGAAAAAAGGCGATATTCCTCCCATTATTATGCCCGTTGTAGTAGAGTATGCTGCAATCTTGGCATCGACCTTCATTGCCTTGCTAAGGAGGACCAGACTGGGATTTATCAAGGCTGCATTATATGGACCTAGAAAGGCCATCATTCCCACCTGAATCAATACCGCCCATTTGAGCCATGAAGGCCAATTCTACCCAGATCTCGAATTAGATATAGTTCTCATGAGGTCTAAGTTGTCTGTGGTGTATTGGAGAATACTAACCAGGGGATCGTCCTTGAAGCGACTTGGCTGTGGAACGAGGGGCAGACCATTGGCATCGCGCTTACACTCCGTCGCATGATTGTCTTCGTGGTCGTGAGTACTTGTGGGACGTTTCTCATCGCTTCTTCTGGTCGAAATGTTCCTTTCAGGGTCATTGGTCCCAGAAACGGACGGCATGGTATCCTCGTCTTGGTTTCTGGTGCGGTCATCCATGGCAGATATCAAGCCAATTGAGCCCAATCCAGTCCCGTCGCAGGGAGAGAGTGTCGAGAGGAGGGAGGGATGTCTAGGGAAGGGCGCCAAAGTTATAGTGATCGATGAACAACATGAATGCGATGAACAACATGAATGCGATCGGTCGTTGGGTGCCTACTTGTAGGTACCGTATCTCAAGCGGCAAGTGAGTGTGACCGTGACGTCGGTTGCACCATGAGATGGAGGTGAATAATCAATGAATGTCGAGTGAATGGCAGGAAGCCTTGGGGAGTCTTGGAGCTCCTGGGTGTGGGCGCCAAGATTTAAAGGCGCTGAAAGAGAACAAACATCGTCGAGTCGCGAGAGGCTGCGTCTACTACTGTACGAGTAAAGCACTTTCAAGCCAAAACCTTCCACCTCTCCCAGCACCCAGACGGCCAAGCCAAGTACATTATTGGCCAGCGCGTTCCTCCCACTCCACTCCAACTCCACTCCAACTCCACCACCACCTTCACCTCCACCTCCACCATCCGCCCGGATCCTCGCCAAAATCCCCATTCCACCCCGGATCGTCACTCGCCTGAATCTGCAAGTGGTGTACTGGCTCGACTGGCTTAAGACTGGTACTACTGGAAAAAGGCACCATCTAACTCTAATTTGAGAGAGAGGAAGAAGATGACAACCGCACACAAATGCCTCACCAGCAGCCCAATGCTTCAGGCTTAAAGATGCAATGCAGGAAACCGGTTACCTCATCAGTCTGACTAACTCGCTATCGGATCATAAGCTTTCGGCCGACATTGCTTAGCATAAAGCTTCGTCCCGAGTCCCGATTCTGATTCTACCGACCTCCTCTACGAGTACGAGTCCACAATGATGACGGGAGAATTCCAGAAAGTCTCAATGAGGAGTACGATTCGAAGTCATCTGTGAGGCAGGAGTGGGCTGATTTCCGAGGCTTTGATTAAGCAGTTGCATTTGGGTCGAGGCTGACGGCATGTTTGTTCGTCATCATGCCTGATTTTGAAGCTTGAGGGCCTTCGGATTTTAGAATGGCTTTTCCACAAGCTGTCTAGTGCCGTTCACGGCCAGAATTTGACTGGCCAAGTTCTCTAATGCCCTGTCGAGGCAGAGCATGTGCTCAGAGATTGGGAAGGGCAAGGATAAGTAATCAGTGGTGCACGAGGTCGTGGGACAGCAACTTGCATCGTCTTTGGGGTTGTACAGTTCAAAATAGCAACATTCATATGTTTAAATCTATCCTGGAATCCCGAGCTCGCTGAGAAGGCGGCTTTAACGGCACTGGATGGTTCTCATGTCCTCACGTCCCCGGGTTTTGTCCGGATCATTTTTCCTCGAGTGGTTTGGAGGTGGTACGAAATCACTCTGGAACGCATGGAGCAAGCGGTTTCTGAGTCAGAAGCGTGGTTCTCGAACGCTTAGTTTTCATCAGTTGCTTGCATAGAGGATCCCGAGGCCACACAGTAAGCATTCTAATTCGATTATCATGGTTCAACCTCAACCGGATCTTATTTTTCTTTTGTCCGCGTATGTTTCTCTCGTCAATATCACATCCAAATCAAATCCAAGCTCGACCAAAGGGCCACTTCCAGGGAGGTTCTTTCGAGGAAGAGGCTACAGATAGTTAGTCGTAGCTTTCGTATGATATCCCAAAATGTGGGGCTCGGGGGTATATATATCAAGTACCTGAAGTCGACTTATGGCCGCCCGTGAGAAGGGTTCTTTGCATGTTCATTGTTCACATGTACAGTTGATGTGCAGTTGTACGGTATGTACAGTGCAGTACTCGTACAGTACCGTCGGCTTTTATATTGGGGATTGCGGGGAAGCTTCTGTGCGGGGCCCGTCTGAGACACAGAGCTGGAATACTCCGTACTCGAGGAGGTTTCCGAGTACAAAGGCTGGAGATTTGGTATGACAGCAATTGTCATGTCTTGTTGATGTCATCTATACATAGATCTATGTATATTGTAATGTACAATTATATTTTCAAGGATCTCCCCGGGCATACTCCATCTGCAGCTTATTTCATTGTTCGTTTCCAACTCTTGGGAACTGCAGGTCAGATGGGGAGGGGTGTCAAGATGAGCTAAGACGGCCCCAGGCGGGCGAGAGAAGCTTGGCCTCCTCCCTGCCCTGCGAGCCTGCGAGCCTGCGCTACCCGTAACCCCGGCTTTGTCGTCTGCGTGTGCATTTTACAACGACTATCGCTGTCTGCAAAACACCAACTCCAAAGAACCAACTTGCCTCTCGTCAACCATATGAACCATATGAACCATATGTACGGGTATGTGCATCACCAGAACTCGACGACATCTATCCTCCTTCGTCGCCCCAGATTTCTTCCTCCATGAATCTGACCTGAGGGCAGTCAACTTTGGATCGTCACCTTCATTCGGATCTCAGCAGTCTAATCGCCGGTTCAGCTTGGATCACGCTTTCCACTCCACTCCACGCCCGTCTTCGCCCCCGTCAAGACGGCATTGGAATTGGCGGCACGGCTGATCTCCCCTCTACCGGCAGCACTTTTTCATCTTCACAATGGAGCAAAGCAAAATCAAAAAGACGGGTAAAGCCCGTATCCCGGATCACCTCCGTCGCCGTGCATTGGTGAGTTGCGATCGATGCAAGAAGAGGCGAATTCGGTGCAACCGTACTAAGGGTGCCGACGCCCATGATGCATGTCAAACCTGCTTGGAGGTCGGTGCCAAGTGCGAGTCAACTCTTCCTCGAAAGACGAGAATATATGGAAGTGTAGAGACACTAAGTGTTCGCTACCGTGTTCTTGATGGTCTGATCAAGGGCCTCTTTCCTTCACACGATACCAGCAATATTGAGGAATTGTACGCCATCGCAGAGGCTAATGACATCACCCTGCCCACCTTTAGTGAGCAGTCTCTAGCAGAGGAAGTCTTCAGTACTCCTCCCTCAAAAGCGGTGTCAAATTCACCCAGACCATCTCACGAGAGTACAGCAAGTCCTGCAGCTCCATCACGGGAATTGGAGAGCTTGCAAGTGGATAAAGATGGAAAGGTTCTCGAGGAAAAGCTGGTTCCTATGCCTATTGTGAACGGTCCTTCACATTATATCGGCCCATCCAGCTCTTTTGGCTTCGTTCTAACGGTACGAAATATGGTCGCCGAGTTCAACGCTGTACTCAGAACCATGCAACCTGACGACGAGGGCACCAAGATCCGAAGCGATTTCAGTGGTTCAACTTGGAGCAAAGCATTAGATCCTATCAACAAGGATGAAAGTGATGAATCTTCAGATGGTGGACCAGAGAGAATTCCTCGAGGCCCTCGGAATCACATGCATCAGTCGCCATTCATCTCGAGTCCTATCCGAAGCCCAATATCTGCAACCAGTAGATCAAGAAAAGCGACGTTGCTTTCTTTTCTCCCTGAGAGGAGAGTCTGTGACGCTTTTGTTCAAGCGTACTTTGACAAAGTTCATCCGAACTATCTATTATTTCACAAATCAACTTTTCAAAATCGATACGAGCTCATGTGGAATCATCCCAACTTGTTGATGCGAGATGTCGAACCGGGCTGGATTTGTTGTATGTTTATGATGCTAGTTTTTGGTGCACAAACATTGGAATCGCAAAACGTACCGCACTCCGTTCAGATTCAGAAACATTATCTGGATCTTGTTCAGGCTAGAATGCATCAGTTAGTCAGTGCTACTACGTTGATCAATGTTCAGGCTTTACTCCTTCTCCAACTGTACCAACACAATTGTACGGAACGAAATAGCGCTTTTATGCTATTGGGATGTGCATCTATCATGGCCATGGCCTTGGGAATGCATCGAGAAGGAACATCCGGGGGATTCAATAAATTGGAGCGTGAAGTCAGGAAGCGAGTTTGGTGGACTGCATACTCTTTTGGGCAATATCAATGCGCGATCCTGGGCAGGCCATGTGCAATTGATGACTCGGAGGTGAATGTTCAGTTTCCTGACGAGATTCTTCTGGATGGAGGTGAATCCGTTCCACAAGGATACGTAGAGCATTCCGTACGTCTTGCCAAGTTACTTTCGGATGTTCGACGAAAGATATATGCATCTCCAAGTCACCCTACAGAACAAGGAGATACACCAAAGATTCCCGTTGCAGCACAATTTCTTCACGACTTACATACATGGCAACAAAGTCTGCCTCCTCAATTACGTTTAGAATACCTCACTCAACATCCGAGATATCGTCGTGCGATAATTCTATTACATATCCAGTTCCACCATGTCCAATCCCTTGTCACCCGCCCTTTTATTCTACGCAAAGTCGGCGTCCAACTCAAAAGATACATGGGGGGACATGTTAACCGCTCCGTAGATCTTGATTCGGAAGAATTAAATTTAAGTCATCTCTGTGGGGAATTCTCCCTCAAATCAGCTACCCTTCTCCAACAACTGCTCTCTGATGGCTCCTTTGACGGTCGCGCCTGGTTGGATGGTTATTACGTCTACCACTCCGTCTTTATCCTCTCTCTCGACTTCCTCGCTCGTCCGTGGCAAGACAAAGATACAGACGATGATATAACGCGGAAACAGGCCGTCCGAGATGTGATGAACGCCTTGGAAAATGTCAAGTTATGTCCTACATTTACGATACTAACACAAGTAGCTTTACAGCTCGCGAAAATCGTGGGAATCTTTGACGCAAGATCTGAGCAGCATGATAGGGGAGATGAATTTAGACAGTACATGGAGCAACAACAAGCAACCTTTACATTCGATTATTCCCAAGACCCCACCACCACTGTCCCAGGACCAGGAAGCGGAAACGTCGTAGGTGGATGGTACGCAAGGGGTCCTGTCGACCTCCCTTTTGAACTAAAAGACTTTTTCAACGGCGAAGGATTCGGTAGTGTAACTAGCAATGGCCTCCCTGCATCTGGTGCTTTCACCGGTATTGGCAATGGATTAACTGCATCTCACGGTTTAGGCGTGAGTGGTGTAAATGGTGTCGGCATCGGAACGACCGCCGAGCAGCCGCAGCCATTTACCGGCATGCCACATTTTGGACATGCATATGTAAATCATATTCCGCAGGTTATCAGCGAGGAGGAGTTGATTGCTACCGCGCCCCCGCCGGAAACTTATACGCACTGGGGAGCGGGCGCGGAGATGCTAAACGAGGGACGGTTAAGTAGAGGGTGAGAGGTAGGTGGTTTGTATGTTGTATGTATGTATGATACATTTATACAGATGCATTCTATCTATAGGGCTCCCCTTTTTGGATTTAGGATATCGTGATTTTGGATCTTGGATTCTGGGGCTGGGCAGTGTGGGTGGAAGTGGAATTTTGGCGAGCTGGGTGGGAATATAGTAGGGAGTGAGTGAGTAGTCCTTATCCTTCTTTCTGTTATGTAACTTGTAGTATATACTAACTTTCGATTAGATAGGAATTTCTCACACCCACAGTAAGAATACCTGGTTATATAGAGGGCTACTGGTTGGTAGTAAACGCACGCCATGGAGAGAAAGTGGAATGGCAGCTCGATTTCGTTCGGTTGGTTATTATCTACAGCCTGCCCTCCACTTGGCTACTGTGGCAAGGAATCTTTGGAATCTTTGGATGTTGGGTTGATGGAGTTGGTGAGGGGAAGGGGGAAGTGGGGGACTAGTTGTCTTACCTTAAAGCTTACTTGCCGCACCTGGGAAAGGAACGGGGAAGGAATCGGTGTTGGGTGTAAGTTGGGAGAGGGAGGATGTTAGAGGGGGAGGAGGTGGGGGGGTTCCGTAAGGGGAAAGAGGGGGGAAGGATAGATACTGTAAGGAGAAAGAAGTGATAAGATAGGGATGATAAGAAATATTCATTTAATATGAAAGGTATATGGAAAAGCGAGGCTGGCTTTCTTTAGTATTCTTCTTTTTTTTTTTTTTTTTTTTTTTTTGAATAATAAGTATTACTGAATCTCTATACTCGGGGTTATTATAACAAACGAATAGAGGTAAATTATATAGATTGGAATATAGTAAAATAACAAACTAAAGAGTCTAGAACTCGAAGTAGGGCTAACTAATATAAGTATATATAGTACTTACTAGTAGCCTACCTAGGTTTATACTAATGGCACGTACCTATATAAAGGGTGTAGGCCGGGGTGCTTATAAATACTAGATATACGTAATACGTATTATTTTATTTTTATTCTAATATATAAGGTAAAGGCTTTGTTAGCTTGTTATAAGTAGTTAATCGATTAAGTAGGGGTAGAAGTCTAGGTTTATATAGTAGACCTTAAATATATATTCTGAATTAATTTAAGCTAAATAGGCTATAAGTATGTTACGGAGTTGGAGGAACTGGGGGCGGATCACGTGTAGCATGGCCCTTGCGTGCTACTGGACTGCTGTATTTAGGCTCTCGTTCCTCTGGAACTCTCTTCTTCTCTCACTTAGTTGTTCGTTCAATATAGCAGTTTCCGGTTTGACTCAGTATTCATCACAGCAAGCAGTGGTTCACTCCACACGGTCACAAAGTATACGTGTTACGAAGTATAAGTAATATTAGAAGAGACTAAAGAGTTAGAGCCTATTTAGCTCGGAGTAAAATCGAATAATTATCTAGGGTCTATAATATAAATCAGAGTTTTATACTTAGTATCGGTGTACCTAGTACTCGATACTAGTTATAAGAAGGGTCAAAGTAATTAGTTCTTATTCGGTATTTAATTACTTAAGGAAGTAAAGGTAGCTAGCTAGACTATAAACGCTTATATACTAGTACTAGGTTACGTAAGTAAATAGAACGTAACTATACTAATACTTAGTATAAGTTATATGTTTTTATATAAGATATATATATATAAGATATATATATAACTTATAAGATATATATATATAAGATAACGTGCATGTATAGCGAACCGGCCAAACAAGCGAACCGGCCAAAACCCGGCGACCCCACCACACCTCCACGAAATATTAAATTTCTCTACAACGAAGGATGCCTCTGAAAAATGACGAAAGCCGGTTAGTCTTAGCTATCCAAGCTATGCAAAAAGACCCAAATTTACGTGCTCGAGCTGCTGCCAGGACCTATTCTGTAGACCACCGCAAGCTAGGTCGACGTTTGCTTGGTATACCTTCACGACGCGATATTTTAGCCAATTCACGGAAAATGACCGAGCTAGAGGAATCAGTACTTGTTCAACATATCCTCGACCTAGCTACAAAAGGATTTCCTCCGCGGATATCTGTAGTTGAAGATATAGCAAATCGACTTCTTGAAGCACGCGACGCGCCACGCGTCGGGACGCGTTGGGCTTATAACTTTGTTAAGCGCCGCCCAGAACTCCAGACACGCTTCCAACGAAAATACGACTATCAGAGAGCTAAGTGCGAAGATCCAGAAGTCATTCGTGGCTGGTTTGAGCGAATGAGGCTGGTTTGAGCTTGTACGAAACACAATAGCGAAGTACGGAATCTACGATGCAGATATCTACAACTTTGACGAGACTGGGTTTATGATGGGCGTTATCTCAACTGCAATGGTTATTACAAGCTCAGAAGGACGTGTAAAAGCAAAAAGAGTACAGCCTGGTAATCGGGAATGGGTTACAGTAATCCAGGGGGTTAATGCCCAAGGCTGGTGTGTTCCACCGTTTGTGATTGTTGCCGCAAAAAATCACCTCGCTTCTTGGTACCAAAACAGTGGATTTCCACCTAACTGGGTGATTGCTATTACTGAAAATGGTTGGACAACAAATGAGAAAGGCATGGATTGGATTCGACATTTTGAGAAGCATACAAAGTCCCAATCTATTGGTGGTTATCGTCTATTAGTCCTCGACGGCCATGAAAGCCACCACTCCGACGAATTTGAGGAATATTGCAAGGAAAACAACATTATCACTCTTTGTATGCCTGCTCATTCTTCTCATATACTCCAGCCACTCGACGTTGGCTGTTTTAGCCCTTTGAAAAGGGCATATGGTCAGCAAATTGAAGATATGATGCGGGCTCAGATCATCCATATTACTAAGGATGATTTCTTTCCTGCCTTCCACGCCGCATTTAATATTGCAATGACAGAAAGCAATATCCGAGGAGGGTTCCGAGGGGCTGGGCTTCTTCCATTTGACCCAGAAAGTGTAATTTCTACACTTGATCTTAAGCTAAAGACGCCAACGCCTCCAAACTCCCCCCCGTATTCCGCTCAGCCTTGGGTTTCCCAGACACCAAATAACCCTACTGAAGCCTTATCACAGACTGCATTTATTAAAGATCGAATTTTACGCCACCAAAGTAGCTCTCCAACCCCTATTTACGAGGCCATTGACCAGTTTACGAAGGGTGCATCAAAAGTAATGCACCAGATAGTACTATTGAAAGCTGAGAACCAGAGACTTCGACAAGCAAATGAAGTACTAAGTAAGCGCCGTAGAGCTAAAAAAACACGCCTACAGCAAGGAGGATCACTTAGTCAACAGGAAGCGCAGGACCTACAGGATGATAGAGACGTTGGTGAGCAGGTAATGCAGGAAATAAAGAGAAGTAGTGGTCGGAAGCCGAGGGAAGAATCACGTGCACGGCGCTGTGGCAACTGCGGAGAGACTGGTCATAATACGCGCACCTGTAATACTATAGAGGAAGTATCTGAGGAAGAAATTTCTGAATAGTGTTTTTTAATTAGAGGCGTTGTGGTAGAGTTCTTACAATTTCAATCGCGAGTGTAGAAAATTTTGGCCGGTTCGCTTGTTTGGCCGGTTCGCTATACATGCACGTTATATATATATATAAGATATATATATAAGTTACTTAAATTTATATTTATTTATATATATAACTTATAAGTTATAACTATTTCCTACCTTTTTTTTATTTAAATAACTAACCTCGCTTCTCTTTCTTTTACTATATATTATAACTAATTAAGATACTCTACTAGCTATACTAGCCTTATAATCTATACCTATACCCCCGGTACCCCTATCTACTTTACCTATAATACTTATAGTTATTCCTATTATTTTTACTCCTTTAGGTACTCCGTGTCACGAATCACGTGTTCACGTGATACTTGTCATAATAAAGAGGCGCAACCCTCGACGGGCACATCCAGGTTTCTTATAGCAAATAGGGATACTTAGACTAGCTAAGCGATCCAGGGATTTCTCGTGTATGTAGTCACGTGATCAATCGCATCGCCTGTATCGACAGTCGATGTTAGCGATAGGAGGTCGACTACATCGACAGGTGATGTAGGCGATGTAGAGAGAACGAAGGTTCTATATAACACTGGCACGTCTGCCATTAGATAGGAGCTTCGTGCTCAACTTAGTTATCCATCTTATCATATTAGTTTGACATCTTTGATACAAGTAACGAGTTCACTTCCAAGTGAACAACCCGATAGTCTTCATCTTATCATAGCATACCAACCAGCGAACACCCAGCCAAGTTTAGTTAGCCAGTTTGAGTATCCGTTACATAGCTATACTTCTGGTATATATTACCCTCTTTAAGGTATAGTTCGAATAAAAGCCTAATTATATAACTAGTTGTCACGAATCACGTGTTAGCACGGGACAAGTGAAGTCCAGGCGGCGCCCTGAAAGGACAAGCACATCAGAAAGACCTTATAGCAAATAGGGATCCTTAGACTAGCTAAGCGATCCAGGGATTTCTTAGTATTCATAGTCACGTGATGAAAGCGCGACAGTCAGGGACAGCGATATTCAGAGAACGAAGGTTCTATATAAGACTGGCATGTCTGCCATTAGATAGGAGCTTCGTGCTCAACTTAGTTA